AAAAAAAAAAAAGAAAAAAAGAAAAACCTCCAAGACCAAGAATCCTCAGCTTGAAACTCAACTCAAAACCCATCTGGTGATACATTAAAAATAAGGTAAATTGTGATTTTAAGGACACAAATTTTGACAAATTTAAGACCAGAGTTCCCTTGCAGCCAGGAGCTATGTCATGCAGATTGTTCAGTCGAGCCCTGCTTCTCAATTTTCTGCTCCAAAAAAAAAAAACAAAGGAAAAAGAAAGTCAAATCTCAGCTAAAGGAGCTCCATTCGGAGCAACATCACAGCAATATTTTGACAGCACATTTCCATCAGCTAAAAGATTACCAATAACCATATACTCCATATTAGACAATAGTGAAGATGAAAAATCAAAGGAAGCTAAGCTTCAGCCTAGCAGCTTGCACTCATTCATTAGCCCGTAATTTGCTAAAATTAGTCTGTAACACCTGAAACTCGGGAACTGATAACCTACATGCATACATTATACGAGGCTCAATGCTGCTACTGATTTATTAAGCACAGTACCTCAGGACTAAAAGTATCAGATTTATCACACATGCAAAATCTGTCTTTACTCAATCTTCATCCTCTTTCTTTTTAATAAAGTAAAAAGCTGTAGTATTTAAATTACTTTATACAAACAATACTAAGTAACCTTATATGTAGTCGACCCAATATAGAGAACGCTGTAAAATGTAAAGTCCCTATAACTGGCAGGCAGTAAAGAAATGCATAGTTAAGATAGATGGTTGAAACAAAGAGATGATATAGTTGTTCCAACATAAGCCAGGCACAAAGGGAAGAAAAAAGCACCAGTCCTTTGCCAGGCCTGCTAAGAAAATTCAATTAACTACTTTTAAAGGTAAGCATTCTGGTTCCTTATTAATGTGACTAAGACCAACCTTCTGCAACAGAATAAAGACGTCAGAAATTCGAGTTTGAAAATGAAAAACAAGATGTGAATTGCAACAAGTCCATGCATATGCATGAATATACTTGCAAACACATGCAGACACAAACATGGAAACAACTCTCATTTAGATGAATTTAGCAAAGAAAATATCTAATCTAAATCTATCTTAAGGAACTCTCTTTGTTCACTGCTTCCAATTAAAGCTTCCAAGTGTTTTCACAAAAACCATAGTTACAACTTGAAAAGATTTTTAATTTCTCACATTCATGGTTTTCATTTGACCTCAGTATTCTTGTTAATCATCATCTAGGAAGCGTTTGAAGTAGATTAGTCCTTCTAAAATCCTTTTGACATGTGCGCAGCTCATAGATCAATCACAAATGATTTCAGATGCAGTAGCAGTTAGAAAAAGAAATGCTATTATGCTCTGAAACATGTAGAGACATACTACTAATACTCCCAAACAACCCAAACACTCCATTATCTCATTTCCAGTGGTGATGAGAAGGTGGATGCAGATCTGATCTGACATCAACTAACAAAAATTGAGAGGGCATTTCAGAGACATGTAAATATTGGAAAGCATAAACATGTTTCCTTGCATATTGTGACAAACATTTATCATTCACTATAGCAAGTAGCTCGAAAAACCTCTCACAAATGCAAACTAGTAGAAAAAGACTACAGCTATGACAAAAGAAGAGCATATACCCTAAGCATAAAAACGGGCTTTACAATATTGGACCAACTCCTCGACAGAGAAAGATTTGGTGGTCTGGTCTGGTCTGCTCACAAGGATTAGGATTCATATAAATAAAGCACAAATTTTTATTCATGTGATATTACTGATTTATAGAGGAAAACAGGTCATACGCAGGCCATCCTATTAACATAAAGCTGCAACAAAAGAAAATATAGCTACTGTGAATCATGGGCTAATGCTAAATCCCCTATGCAAGGAAACAATCCATAAATTGGCAGCGGTTCTGAGTTAAGAACTGGAGGAGCATGAAAAAAGAAATGGATTTCCACTGAATCATTCAATATCATCAAAACGGAATTCCAAGTCCCAGCATAAAAGAGATGAAAACACTAACAAAAATAGATGGGATTCGATCGAATCAACAGAATGTAAAAGGAAAGGGCAAGGGCAGAAAGCAAAGAGGAGAAGAAATACCGATTGAGCGTTGTGCCAGGCTAGGCCTCTGTAAACATTAACAGAGAAAGTGGCGGTTAGGTAAATGGTGGCCAATCCTAGACCCGCTGTGAACCCTTTAAAGGCCCAATCCCCGGCTCTGCTTGCCCACCCCATCTTCTCTCTTTCTCTGTATGAGAATTTGGTGTTGGAGGTTGCTAACTGCGAAGCTAAGTTAAGCTCACAAGGAATTTGACAGGATATACCCCTTTTTCGTAGTCTTTACCTGTTGTCAGATTTTCTTAGGTATGTATGTATGTATGTATGTATTCATTCCATATTCAAACATTAATTTTGAAACTTCTTTTGTGCTTTTCCCCAAAAACTAGCTAACGATGAAAAAAATTACACTGTCGCCATTACACTCGATTTTAAATGATCTAATATTACATAAATAAATATGAACACTATAAGTTCAGGTGGTATATATGATGCTTTATAACAGGATTTAATTGTGTAGCTTGAGAAAAAACAAAAACAAATCACTTGTAAATTATTTGGACAATAATTATAACAGGATTTAATGTTGCGTATGACGTGTTTTCCTCTAAAAACCAAAGTAAGCATATTTTGACTTGAAAGGTTTAGGCATGGCCATGAGCACTTAGTTCCCAAGGGACATCCAAAGTTCCCGCCGTTCAAACACTATACAAAGTTGGACAACTAACTACCATGGAGAGCAGACCTGTGTTTCAGCATTGTGTCTTCTACTTTTGGCTTTCCATTGGTATACATAAACCATATGTTCCAGCACCGAGCATCATCTCGCTCAGCCTCTTTTTGCACCCGACAACAAAAATAGTGCGCAAAAATTGCAAATTTGATCATTTTACTAAAGCCAATTCAAAACAGTTAAATCTTCACATATTTTAAATATAGTAAAGAGACCAAAACAGCACTAAAGACATACAGCATGCTGATGACTTGAAGGATATAATGACCATTATAATTAATCCAACACCTATAGCTCTTCCTAGTTGAACCATCTATCTTCTTATGCCCATTCTTTAGTAAAACACTGGTTCAACATCTATACCCTCAGAGGGACTGCTTCAATTTGCTGCTTCAGTTCAGCATCCTCCAATGAATGCCCCAAACAGCCTCATCTACAACAGCCACTTCTTTTCTGATAATGATATGAGCTGCCAAAGAGAAAATAACAGACAAATCAATATGTAGTATTATGATTAGAAACAACAGATTGTAGCTGTCATGAATAGATTTCAAATGATAAACACAGGCACCATGCTGCTTGAGAAAAATTAATATATGCATGATGTGAGCTCTAGAAATAGAGGTCATCAAAAATAAAAAGTAAAAATAATTACTGGACATTTTCAAACCAGGTTAAGAGAGAGAGAAAAGTGGAATATCTTGTATTGAACAGATAGATCACATAGAATTTTCAAGAAAGACAAATGTTTCTGGGAACTCCACAGAAGGTTGAAACAGATACTGAGAATAATCTAGAAGAAGTAAAATTAAGAACTTAAAATCTCATGTTTAGTCTCATCTACAATAGATGCTAGTAAACTTCCCTATGATACTAGGTCAATGTTTACCATAGATGTTAAGGTAAATGCAGGAAGACCTGATCTTTGTTCACAACAACAGAGGCAACAAATCCCTTAATTGAAGCCCCCAGTTGACCTATCCATCATGTCCATCTCTAAGCAATCAACCCATCATGCCAATCTCTAAATGACAATTCAAACATTCAAAGACAGAAAAAAGAAAAAACATGGAAAGCACGAATGAAGGCAGTTTCTTACCAGCAGGACTAAGCAAGATGCAACAGTAAACCAAACTGTAAAACCATGCATTAAAATGCTCCAATACAAATGAGCAACTCTTTGTTTTACTCACCTGGGGTTTAATCTTTGAAAAGTCCATTTTAAAATTGATGAGGAAACCACCACGATAACAAAATTAGATGTCCATGCTTAATTGTAACCATCAATTGCATATTACATTTTTTAAGAGGGCATGAAATCCTAAAAGCGTAACACTAAACTGAATCTCAAGATTTTGCTTCAGTCTATAAAAGGGCTGTTGTTACTTACAAGTGACATCATTTGTGAGAGACAGTAAAGAGATGATTGATAATTGCTTCTTGCACCTTCATTTCATAAGGGTGAGGCATTAGGTGCAAATATAACAGAATGGAGGGAATATGATATGGTTCCCAATGGATTTCGAAGGGGAGTAAAGAAGTGCATGTGTAAAAAAAGCAAGTAAGTTCCTATGTGCAAGCATTAAAGTAGTCTCCTCTGACATGAGAAAGGTAAGTTGGAAAACAAATATTAACGATTTAATGAATAGGGAAGAAAAGGATGCACTTAGAGTGATAGATAAATTAAAATGGGGATGATTTCTAATTTGACAAAAAAAATTAAGAGAGTCTCTGAGCAAATCAAAACCAAAAGTCAGTTAATAAGTTATGGCAGGAATTGACCCAATAAGGAGGTGGCTTACACATTCCACCAACTGAAGGACCTAATTGTCTGATAAATTAATACATAGCACATGACTCAACAACAGTGTAACAAGTGCTTTAGTTTGTCAAGAATGCAATTATCACAATCATGACAATGCAATATTTTGCAAGGAGAATTGATAAAGCTTCATCATCCCTTAAAAGATTGAGGAGAACTCAACTCACCTTAGACATAGGCCACATGACCAAGATTAAGCTTAATGTTTGATCCTACCGCCTTTCAGGAGTTAATTTTATGTGTTCAAATATCCCATTATCAAAATCCTTGCAGTGCCATTGTTGAAATGCAAAATAT